TTATACACACACATTGCAATACAACTACAGCTTCTTATACACACACATTGCAATATAACTACAGCTCCTTATACACACAGTGCAATATAACTACAGCTCCTTATACACACAGTGTGATATAACTACAGCTCCTTATACACACACATTGCAATATAACTACAGCTCCTTATACACACAGTGTGATATAACTACAGCTCCTTATACACACACATTGCAATACAACTACAGCTCCTTATACACACACATTGCAATACAACTACAGCTTCTTATACACACACATTGCAATATAACTACAGCTCCTTATACACACACAGTGCAATATAACTACAGCTCCTTATACACACACAGTGCAATATAACTACAGCTCCTTATACACACATTGCAATATAACTACAGCTCCTTATACACACACACAGTGCAATATAACTACAGCTCCTTATACACACACATTGCAATACAACTACAGCTTCTTATACACACACAGTGCGATATAACTACAGCTCCTTATACACACACAGTGCGATATAACTACAGCTCCTTATACACACACATTGCAATACAACTACAGCTTCTTATACACACACAGTGCGATATAACTACAGCTCCTTATACACACACAGTGCAATATAACTACAGCTCCTTATACACACACAGTGCAATATAACTACAGCTCCTTATACACACACAGTGCAATATAACTACAGCTCCTTATACACACACAGTGCAATATAACTACAGCTCCTTATACACACACATGCAATATAACTACAGCTCCTTATACACACACAGTGCAATATAACTACAGCTCCTTATACACACATTGCAATATAACTACAGCTCCTTATACACACATTGCAATATAACTACAGCTCCTTATATTGTATCCTTAAAAGCACAGAAGCTAAAAGATATGTGAATAAAAGGCTAAAATATCTTTATCACAAATCTTTTAGCTTCTATGCCTTTAAGGACACCCAGATATGTTGATCAACATTCAGTAAAAACTGCATATCTAACTATTCTACTTAATATAAGTTCTCCCACAAACAGATCATATCCCCTCATTAATATATTCTAATCCAAATGTTTTAATGATATAGGCATAAAAATGTAATGACATTTTTTACTCTATATTAACACGGTATTGTAGGAAACCAAAATTCAGATTCTTTATCTTCAATTCCGACAAATATAGGTAAGTGCACGTTATATCCCTTATTCATTCTATATAGGAAGGTAAGTACGCGTTCTATCCCTTATCCATTCTATATAGGAAGGTAAGTGCGCGTTCTATCCCTTATCCATTCTATATAGGAAGGGAAGTGCGCGTTCTATCCCTTATCCATTCTATATAGGAAGGGAAGTGCGCGTTCTATCCCTTATCCATTCTATATAGGAAGGGAAGTGCGCGTTCTATCCCTTATCCATTCTATATAGGAAGGGAAGTGCGCGTTCTATCCCTTATTCATTCTATATAGGAAGGTAAGTGCGCGTTCTATCCCTTATACATTCTATATAGGAAGGTAAGTGCGCGTTCTATCCCTTATTCATTCTATATAGGAAGGTAAGGGCGCGTTATATCCCTTATTCATTCTATATAGTAAAGAGTTTATTTTCTTTTAACATTCACGGCTGGAAGCGATAAATTATCTGTAAACGAACAATTGCTTTTAATTATCTGCTGAATATTGGGATTAATTGATGTTGGGGAATATTGGGATTAACGAATCTGTGTTGGGGAATATTGGGATTAACGAATCTGTGGTGGGGAATATTGGGATTAACGAATCGGTGTTGAGGAATATTGGGATTAACGAATCGGTGTTGGGGAACATTGGGATTAACGAATCGGTGTTGGGGAATATTGGGATTAACGAATCGGTGTTGAGGAATATTGGGATTAACGAATCGGTGTTGGGGAATATTGGGATTAACGAATCGGTGTCGAGGAATATTGGGATTAACGAATCGGTGTTGAGGAATATTGGGATTAACGAATCGGTGTTGGGGAATATTGGGATTAACGAATCAGTGTTGGGGAATATTGGGATTAACGAATCGGTGTCGAGGAATATTGGGATTAATCTGATCTGACAATCAAGTAGTAGTTATGGTATTCGTGTATTGTGTGCAGTTTCTGTTTGTATATTTACCAGTAGATTTGTCTGTGCTCTTTACATTCTATGTAACGCCTACCTACCGATCTACTTGTATTTATCAGGGCAATCCAAAATGTACTTACTACAAGCGAGGTATTTGTGTTTAAACACTGCACGTCCAATTCAGCATAATCCCATAATAAAAATAAAAATCTGCAGCGGTGAGCAGATATTAAACCAAGTCGGCAGGCCGTGGTTAATCAGGATTGCCCTGGTAATTTGGGGGGAGTAAAGGGGTAAATTTGAATTTACCCCATGTAGAACTGAAGTACCGAGCTAGGCGTAAACAATCCCCTTAGCATCTGTGCCCTGCAGGTCTTGTAAAAGGGTTTAGAATCACACTCTATGCCCCATACGCTAGGTTTATCTATCACTTCTCTTTACACAAGCTATATGTAAGGTACTTTGCTTCCCTCTGCTGGTCACAACTGGGAATGGCAAATTAAAAACACATTCCTTCTCAGGAGAATGATATACATTTTCTTCATATTTTCTGTAATTCCTCTTTCCTGGTGAATTCTCTCCAACTCCCAATTTAGTGAATAATGCATGCTGTGAGCTTGTGTATTGCTGTCTGGGCTCAATGTGAAATCCTCTAACAATCAATGCAGTTACAATAAATGGTTAGCTGCAGATCCTATTTGTAGGGCTGTTAATTGAAGATACATACTGCAGTGCAATTTAAATCCCCTCCCACACCCCCAATAAAGGTTACCTGCGCATAATCTCAAATCCTTATTCATAGTTATGGGGTTGGTCAAACGACAGCCACCCCTCACTGAGGAAGTCTTACTAAAAATGTATTAACACAATAATGCACAGTGAGGCTGTATGTGGTGTAATAAATGGTACACCATGTTCCCTGGCTACAGTAACTTGTATCTACACTGAGAGTTGGGAGATCACCACTCACATCGAAATAAAAGGTCCTAAGCACCACTATCAGCTGAGACTGCAGACTCTAATAATGTCCTAGCTGGGGCAATGTGTGAATCCAATGACTTAAGAAATATTGATATAAATTAATCGGTGTTAGGATTGAGATGAATCATTCTTATAATGTAGGCTTTCACTACCCCGGATTGCCTCGTAAAGCTGTTATACAGTGTTTTGGGGCCAATGATAAAGACACAGTAAAATCGGGTACACTGACATTGTAGCAGCTCGTCATATGCTGTAATTAAATCCCTGTTCTTTTTTACTAAAGTCAGGTGTTTTTAGAAACCATTACATTTTGTGAACTTTGACGCTGGTGTTTACTTGGGAGTGTGCAGGATTCTATAGGTGGAAGACAGCACAAAGTCGCCTTTCACCCAGTACCAGCTCCGATCATCAAATAAGCAGGTATGGTTTTAGTCTGTACAGCACATAGTTTTACTGTATTCTGCTGCATCCAATCCCCATCAGTGTGGTGGACTGTTATGCTATTGCTGTTTTTAGCTTTTATCTGGATTTAATAAATATTTACTTACCTGACACCTGGGTCACAAGAGCATGTATTAAGGATCCCACGTACCCAAGGGGCTGATCCTCCCTGGGCGAGAGAGCTAGGAGTGGGGCTTTTACCACTCCATATCTGTGAGTTGCATTCTTACTGAGGGCATTTATTTTAATTAATTTTAAGTACTTTATTGCACTACGAGTGCGCTCTCTTTTTTGTCTCCTACCCTACAGATATCCTGTGTATATTCCAGCAGGTTATAAGTATATTCACATAGGTGGGCTTTTTTTTTTTTTTTACACGTGTTATTTGGGATAACACTATTGGTATTGCTGATACAGTTTAAAAATACTTTGACACATTTGTGGTGTCTTCACGTATTTTTACGCACCAGCACTTTTCTGTCTTGTAATTATTTGGGTACCTTATTACCAGGGTACATTGCAGGTGCTGCATACTAAATTCTATCCATATTTTTTTTGCGCCTGTTTATCTGTTTTGTATATTTTTTTTAATTTACACCGTGAGCCAGTGGTTTCCAAACTAGTCCTCAAGGCACGTCTACAAGTCCAGGGATTACCCAATTGTGTCCAAGGTGTTTTTAGAAAGAAAGTAGAAAACAAGACCGCATTACACAACTGGGTAATCCCTAAATCCTGGACTGGTAGACGTGCCACACACATTGCCCAATTCACTCACATTATTCCCTAACCGACCTACTGTATGTCCTCGCCAGTTACCTAAATGGCAGCCGTCAGTCTCCCATATCTCACATGTGTAGATGCTGCATGTAATACATTGAACAAAATGCTCGCAATCTGCCTGATTGTCAGCTCTGAACAAAAGCTCGTTACGGGGGCATTTTTACTAAGCCAATCTCAGAGCTGAGAACATTATGTAAAGTTGTGATGGTTGTTAGTGACCCTGTAGTAAATATGGGTCTCAAATGTGATGCATAAAGAAAAAGCCACGTTACTGGTAAAATTCCAAATATATTTAATGAAGAGTTAATCAAAGAGGTGTCTGCTCGACCCACAGACATTCAGGACATCTATTAACTTTCCGTACCAAATTCTCAGACTTATAATGTGTGCTGCATCCTGCGTTGGTGCACACAGTGGACGTTAATGCGAACCAACACATGAAAGCTCCCGATTACACATTTTCTTTATAGCACAAGGTATTCTTTAGCTGGAGACACCCTGATCCACCTTACTACAACCCTCACTCAGCTCACTGTACTAAAGTGCTGTATCTTCTCTGTCAAGGTATACAGTCTGTAACCAGCCCAGCTTGATAGAAAAATGGACGATTCCTGAGATTCTACAAATCTTTTGGAGTGGGTGAGAAACTCATGTAGTGTTGATGGTTGTTCCCGTGACTGTAAAGAGGACTTTAAATTATTTGTACAAGGCATTAAAGGATCGGCCGATGACCAGTCTGCGGACTTCACTAGTGCCTGCGCCAATCTCGTATAACTTGGCATCACGTAGAAAGCGTCCCATAGGGTAATCATTAATGTATCCATTTCCTCCTAAGAAAAAAAAAACCCACAAAAAAATTCAATCAGTGAGCTGTAATCAGGTGTAAAACAGCCCCTGCCATGTTCAGGAGAGGGAGGCAATAAAATAATTCCCACAATGCTCAGACGTAGCTGGAGGGCATGGCATTTTATATGAACAACTTTACAAATAAAAACCTCAGAGTTGAACTTCAAAAAGGTATCTGCCTTCTTACTCAAAGCACCATGACCACGTCGGTGATTTGAAGTAGTCATGGTGCCTGAAGTCTGTCTATGACTCTGTAATTCCACCTCCAGCAGTGACTAGAGTACCGGGCTGGCTAATGTCAATTCCGTGCAAAGTGTTTTTTTACACGGTCTGACATTCACTGGGTGCTGTCCTTTGTGGCTCTCAGCCAATGAATAGCGACTGGATCAGTTTCTGGTTCATCACCAGCGGGGAGAGACAACCAGATGACCTGCTGTGATCCAATTACCAGGAACCAGGTCAGGGTACCGCTACTACATCAGTAATACTCGCAGCGCCGATGTTTACATGATCTACAACTCATCATGCTCAGTTAGAGCTCAGGCCTGGCTGGGCATTATGGGGATTACACAGTAATAGACCAGGTACTGTAATCTGTAAACACTGAAATACTAGGAGCTGATATTGGGTAAAAAAACAATAGATAAAATCTGCAGAATATAAAAGTATTTACATAAAAACCATAGAAAAGTACATCAATTTCCCTGTCCTCTAGTTAATCAAAGAGGTGTCAGCAATGCTGCTAATAGTGTACATTTTATCACCAGTAAAAACACCCCAGAAAGGAAATAAAATCAATTCAAATCCCAAATAGGACATCTGGTTAATAAGAGTATCGGCAGCAATGTAGCAACATGTTATAAAGTATTTATAGAATGTAGCAGATATAAAGCACGTCTGGCTCAATGCTGTAAGACTCAAATCTGATAGAGGGACATATCCTTCCAGAACTGCCAGATCCCACTTTAAACCTTGTAAGAGGCAGCGGCTTTGTTAATCAGCGAGACAATATATTGTCCTGCTCGGTGTGTTCTCTGTAACGGCATAAATGTAATATTAGTAAAATGAAAACACTCCCAACAGTGGAGGATCAGAAATCTCTGTCTGGAAACGCAATCTCTATAGAGATATAGAAATCTGTGTATTTTATTTTTACACCTCGAACAAGGCGATATATTGTCTCGCTGATTATCAAAGCAGCTGCCTCTTGCAAGGTTTAAAGTGAGATCTGGCAGTTCTGGAAGGATATGTCCCTTTATCAGATTTGGGTCTTACTGCATTGAGCCGGAGGTGCTTTATATCTGCTACATTCTATAAATACTTTATAACATGTTGCTACATTACTGCCGATACTCCTATTATTAACCAGATGTCCTATTTGGGATTTGATGTGAATTGGTTCTATTATAACTTGCATTCTGGGGTATTTCTACTCTTGATGCAGTGTATACATTTTTTTACAATACTGCTGCCACCCCTCTGATTAACGAGAGGACGGGGAACTTTTGTATGGTTTTTATGTGAATAGGTTTATTGTTCTATTGTTCTGTGATTGTTTTCTACCTAATATTAACTCCTAATCTTTATCAGTATTACTGATTACTACTTTGAGTTTTATCAGGTAGTTTAGACGGTGACAATTTTTGTACAATAAGGACTTTTTTTTTTTATCCTCCCCCCCCCTTTTTTTTTTTTTAAAGTATTTTTTTTTTTAAGGTGTTTAACATGTATGTTTGACTCTTTCAGGTACTGTAAAGGTTTGTCGGTAGTTTGTGTAGGTAGTTTTGTGGCTAGCAAGGAGTCGTTATTACTGTAATATTTGCCTGGCTTGGTGGCCCTGGTCCATACCAACATGTGTAATCTGCAATTTGTTCCCCAATAGAATATTGTGGGAATCCTAATGAAGCCATGCTATAGATCGCTTGCTGGTTATCAGTCTATCAGATTTCAATTTCAAATCTTTCTAAAAATGACATATCTCCTATAAAATTAGGGGAGAACAGCCTGGGAGTCTGTGAAAATCTTACCCAGACACTGGATACCATCGAGAGCCACCTGCGTTGCACACTCTGCGGAATAGAGAATTGTGCCAGCACAGTCCTGTGCAGAGACATAAAACACAATGAGGAGAGATTAGAATAAAGTGAAGTAGAATACTTGCTTTTTAACAATTTTATGCTAAACGAAAGCCATCAGCACTTTACGTACAACTCAGATTGCTACTGGACCTGCCATGTTAAAGTTTAATCTATCGTTAAGTATGGGGGTTACGGGAAATAGACATAACACATGGTGCAGCATTCCTCAGAACTTGCCATAGGAGCTGACACTTCAATACAGTTACCAACCACAAACCGGGTTCATCACTAACGTGAGAATTGACAGGAATTCAAAGTGAACTCAAATTTAAGACCAAAATAGCCGAACCTGGAGAAATGAATTTGAAATTCACTTTGAATTCACATTTTAGTGAATAACCCTGAAGGATTACAAGTATCGATGAGCCAAATGCTCTGAAACTCTCCGTGGGGACCCCGCTAGCAATAATGCAGATATTTTGTAATGAATTCCCCTGGATAGAAGCTGAGATACAGATTGGGATCTTCATCCCAAATAACAACTGGAGATCCCGATTGAAGACATAAGAGGGCGAGACTGTTTTAATATAAACGATTTCTAGCAAGTTTAAATGAAATGCATTCATCAGATGTAGGGGTTAGATGCATGTCTGGGGGAATGGAAATGAACCCAGTCCCCTGTAGACTCTCGAATTCCATGTCTTCAGTCCCTCAAAGAAACCTCAGTGGGATTCAGCATTATCTTCCAAAAACACACCAGACATTCCGTAATAAAACAAACGCTCAAAAGGGTTTCTTCCATTACTGGGAAAACAATTTATTGGACTGTGTTTTGTTATTTTGTCTTTTTTACACAGAACTTATTTTGTGTATTTGGAAATGATTTTTGATAATGCTGTTTGAGTGACTGGAGATGTAGAATCAGAGTTATAGGGGACTGGGTTAATTTAGCCTCCTCGGAAATCTGGGAAGGGGGCACCCCGGAAAACATTTAAGCTTGCTAGGAATTGTGTATATATTAGAACAATATTGTGTTATTTTAAGGTTTTTTTATTTTAATTCAGGCAGTGTCCCCAATGGTTTGGTTTTAATATTTTGGCTACGGAGATTTGCAAAAATCTCTGGGGGAAGCCGACCCAGTGATTCTCAAATACCATTGTGTTTTTTAAATAACATTCATTTTGGTAATGTTTTTGCTAAATTTCAAGGTGTTGAAACAGACGCCCACTCACCCTGGGTGTTACGTGCCCTTTATCGCAGGCTTTTGCCACGTTATAAACATACTGCCGGCACACGGCAAGGCGGGTGTACATATCAGCAATCTTTCCTTGCATCAGCTGGCCGGGAGAAAAAAGAGAAAACATTATCAGACGCTGGGGAACACCCAACACGGTATAAAAACTCCACCAAGATCCGCCTTTCACACATTTGTATCTGCTGTTGATCCAAAAGGGAAACAGAAAACTAATTTCAATCGATTTAGAATTGTTGCGAAGAAATGGAAAAAAAAAAAGGTCTTTATTACAAAATGGTAGTGAGGTTTCTCATGGGATCTACAAGCAGTTACCCCACAGATTGAGGATTATCGCCTAAATCTCCTACCCACATACAGATAAAGATATCAGGACAGACCCTATCATGCACAGACCCACAGTCAGCAGGGAAAACTCTGTAGATCAGCCCTAAATAACACTTAAATTAAACTCTAAGTTATGAATGACAACTAGGAGAAAATATCCGATCTGTAAAAAAATTAATCTCAATTTGGATCGGTTTTCTTCATTTTGGAGTTTAGTGAAAAACACTATAGTGCCTTGACCATCACTCCTAACCCCATCATCCCTGAATGGTCTGCACACCTTGGACCAGACCAAACGTGGAATAGGGTTTGATTTGAGTCTGCAATTTCACTAAACAGGCTCACTCGGAGGACCAGCTTTTATTTATTCCCCATAACATCTATATTTTAGGAGTCCTTGGTCGAACTCTGTAAAAGAGAGTTTTCGTTTTCTGTTCTGTGTAAATGTAGCCCAGCTTATAGCTGTGGAGTCTCTCCATTGAAGGCTCAGCCTGTTGCTGCACAACGATCAGATCACAAACCAGTGAAATGTGCTTTGTGTAAACCGATAGTGGATGCAATATGTAGTGTTTATAATGCACTTCCAATCACCGTGTAGGACAGCAGGTTTGGGGGACAAACTATTACCACAAACTGCTGCTGCTGGATGGCAGCTGTAGAAGTATTATCTACGGTATCTCCGCTGGTAGACAGGATGAAGCAGGTAAAATGTAGGCAAAATGCAGGTAGCGTAGTTACAATCCATTTTCTCCCAAGAACTAGAAAACAAATAGCTTGGAGGTCAACTGAGAGCTTTAATGACAAATCCCCAATTTATGTGGTTTTTACTGTACAGGGTTTCCAGCAGGGGTTTTAATCAGGTGGACTGTGTGGGAAACTGACCATGCAGGGTCCTTTCCCAGCAGCCCCTGCTGTACAGGCACAGAGATGTCATCAGCAAGTACAGATCATTACCAGTGGTTACAGTAACATGCAATATTTTACATTAAAATCTATCATTCTCACAATTTCCCACCGATTTGTATGAATGACCTCTCAACAGATTGCAGGGATCGGCACGTACAATATACTGAAGTACCGCTCGGATCCCTGCAGAAATAACCGAACGCCGCTCATAATATACATTTCCACGAACTGGGGATCAGAAGAGAGAACTGGGGTTTAGAAGAGAAAACTCACGAATAGCTTCATTTCCCTGAAGGAGCGAGTTTCCCGAGCGTTATGGAAGTCCAGCAGTGTTTGGAAATCAAGTGACCGATTTCGTTTCCAGGCACTCGACGACCAAACACCGCTGAACTCTAACAAAGCAAAGATGGCCTCCGCCACGTGTTCAGTACACGAACGCCCGCCACACACAGAAAGCCCATTAATGGCTGGACACAATATTGCAACATCACTAATGAGCGGCACACGACCTACTGGGGTGGTCTCCCATTCGGTCCTTGGTTCGTTTCACGAACAGTGTTAGAATTCACTGTTCGGGAAACTTGAAACTGAATGCTAGCGGCATTCGTGTGCTTACAGCACATGAATGCAGAGGATAAACCAGATGAACTCTTTTACATACAGATATTTTAAAAGTGGTTGTTTTTTTCACAGATAGAAATAGCAATGGTAGCAATAGTCAGGTATATATAAAGACATTCTGTAAGTGGCTAGGTTTGCCACAGGAGCTGTATGGGATAGGATTAGATCCCATAGACTACAACGAGAGTCTCCTGATTGGTGGAGGGGAGGTTCGTTCTGCAGCTACAGATGTCTAAAGGTGAATATATTAGTTACATTTTCTTTAAATGCCTTAATAATATACACACATTGTCTCTGTTGATCAGACAGCCAGTCCTGTTACTTCCTGGTTTGGTTAGCTCAGTGAAGATAAACTCAAGAGGCAGCAATTGCCCAGAGCACCTGCCTTGCAAAGACTTCTCATTGAGCTGCATTGGGAAGCTTGTGATTGGACAGACACACAAAGTATGGGCGGTGTTAAAAGGGGAGGGCTTGCAAAGGCTGCAGAAAAGAGATCTTTGTATATATAACCCCAATGAAAAAAAATGCATAGTTCGATGAATGCGTCAATTGAGGGGCATCTACTAAACTGTTTTTCCCTTTTGCATAGTTGAATATCCCTTTAATCTTTTATTTTATTATGTTTCCAAGGTAACTAGACTCTTGTGTGGATTTGGATGTTTTCATTAAACTGGGATTTTTGGAGACGGGAATGGAACAATTATCTGAGCTGGGATTTATTCACTAAAGTCCAAAATACACTCAAAGAAAGTCGATTTAAAACTTTAGGCCACAACACACTGCCCAATCATTGACTACAGTTCAGTCGGGTTGTTATTTCACTACATAGTGGAATTTTTATTTTCCAATTCCATCATTTGGTATAAAAGTCTCAGTTTAAGTGGTAAATAATACAACGTGTCCTGTTTTGAACTGATGTCACAGAGCTGGTAACCTTGTCTCACCTGGAAATGGCCAATTTTCTGCCCAAACGCCTCTCTGGTGTGCAGGTATGGGAATGCGTGGTCCAGCACAGCTTGCATGATACTGGGACACAAACACAGCGTTAAAAAGGACACCAAAAACAGCAACATTTTACCACAATTATCTCACAAGTAGGTTTAGGCTTTTGTAGGACTTGTCACGGAAGGGTGGTTTTGGGCAGCCCAAGTGAAGTCAATGCCATAATGTTTCAATTCACAGAACACTTTATATAACACTGATGACTGCCACTTGTGTTCACTGCAGATGCTGCTGGTTCAAGTCCCCCGAGTTAATCCTTAACGGGTTGGGTAAGCGCAGGTGGTGCTAAATACAGCAAACCTTCCTTTCCTCCTGAACTGCCATTACTTCTAAAACAGTTGCAGTTTGTTCTGCTAAGAGGGCTTGCCAGTATTTTGGGGTGCAGGATCCTGCTCCCCATAGAGATACAATACATTTGATTAATCAATAAATGTATAAATTTCGCTTGCTGAGAAAACAGTTAGGGTAACTTCCTAGCAATTCACCAACTATGCTTTAATGTCGTCGTAAATGTGAGAATGTCCGTACGATATTTAAATGCCATACTCCGTCTTTACTTGTTGGAAGGCACAGTCTGCCTTACCCAGGTAGCTGTCAGCTACAGATAATGTCTACAATGAGCCATCTGAATCGCCTCCTCCTGCCACATCTGTCTCTGCTACATTAAATCTCATTAGTAAGAGGGCAGAGGAAGTCACGGAAGGATATGAGTTGGCTGATGTAACTGGGCCAAGCCTTCAGCAATCAGCCCTCTCCACGAGTCGTACCATCTGCTAACATCCAAGGACTGAAACAGATTGAATTGAAATGACTTCTGTTCCTGCAACTCGCCCAGTGCTGGCTGCAGTCACAGAGGGACTATATTATTATACAATGGAGTAGCTCGAATGGACGGATTCGGAGAACATTACAGAATGTCGTCCGCAATTCAATGAAGATCCAGTGCAGACTGAAACCCCTTGTTTTCCTTTACTATACAAGTTATATATAGTATAGGTTTAAATATTACAATAACACTCCGCCTAATATTTAAATAAAAACATATCCATACACTTAATAAAAAGAATATAATCGAGTAAAAAGTAAAAACTAATGCCAGCGCGGAGATCGGAAAATCATTCAATACAGAACAGCATGAAAGCACAATTAGCTGATGCTAAAAAACAAAGATTATAAAATCTACACCGTACTATAAAATAACTGCAGGGATACACTGCACATTTCTACATTTATTTTATAGTATTGAGTTATTTTCTGATTGTTTGCTGTATAATTATTAAACTGTGCTTTCATGTTGTGTAGGGAATCACTTTCCTATTTGAGAGTTGGCAATATTTGTTGCATATACTTTGCCCTTTGGATCAATATACATTAAGAGCGCAGTGGGAACAAATGTGTCCAATTTCTGTGTAGGAAAGATTTTAAACTTGAGGCGCTCTGGATGCCCCAGTTCTTCCAAACCAACGAATATTAGGTTTCGGACCCCATTTTTACACACTGTGTAGTTTCTTTGCCCTTCGTTAGGGTGGGGAGATACCTTAACCCCTTAAGGACCAAACTTCTGGAATAAAAGGGAATCGGGACATGTCACACATGTCACGTGTCCTTAAGGGGTTAAATTGGTTAAAAAATGTAATGTTTAGGGAATAGTAATGGGGTTTTATTTAGTGAACCAGAAACAATAGGGTTAATAGTTTTGGAACCATATAATGTGTTATTATAGTTTATTAGGAGATTAGAGAAAGATTTGTTTTGTTAGCGTTCCCACAATCCCAGTGCTACATTCCCTGGTCATTTACAAAGCCGAGATTTCTGGAGAAAGGACGAAATACTGGATATAAACTGGACAATATCCATGTTCCAGCTCAGCGAGTGACAACATGTCCAATTCCCATTCTGGGAGCCCGCAGTATAATCAATGGAGGCATTTACCTGCCGTTAGGAACTTGCTAGAATTTCACTAAAAGTTTAAAGAAAAAAAAAGTGAAATTTCCTCAATTCCCATTCAGGGGCTTATTCACTAAACAAGTCAGTCAAACTGAGGAAAAAGATTTGTTTTGAGTTCAGCTATTCTGGTGTAAGGCATGAAATGCATCACAATATTAGGAGGTACTAGAGTTCTAATTACCCCAGGGGTCCTCCGCTAAGCACCAGCCTCTCCAGATCCAATCCACTCATCAGAACATAGACGCCTTTACCCAGATGTCCTAGAATGTTCTTTTCTACAAATAAAATGTTAAAGTGTCAAGTTACAAAGTTCCCTGCTTGGGATTCATCAAAGTATAATATACAGTATTTCTTATCTCCCTTAGCATCATTTAAAGTGACCCCATGCACAATACACTCACCAGGAATCTTGCAGTCCTCAAACACAAGTTCACAAGTGTTGGACCCTCTCATTCCCAGCTTGTCCAGTTTCTGTGCGGTGCTAAATCCAGGTGTTCCCTACAAAGTCCAAAACGTGAGAATATTAGAAGAAATCGGGATAAGGCAGAGATATCAAGACGGAGGGCAGAACACTGACCTTTTCGACAATGAAAGCAGTGATTCCATGAGAGGCTGGCTGGGCTGATGGATTTGACTTTGCATAAACTATCACCACATCTGCATCTGGCCCGTTTGTAATCCAGAACTTGTTTCCATTAAGAACATAATAATCTCCTTTAATAAAAAATAAAACATGCCGTCCATTAGTATAAGCTGGTGATGGGTACACCTACAGAAATGACTCACATCTGACCATCTCTAAGCAGGGTGTGCTTGGTTAAATCATTGGTATTTCATTTTTTTTAGGTTATGAATTCATCACTAAAGTGGCACGGTCATGAAAGTCAGAAAGCCGAATGAATGAATAGAAATGTCAGACGAACAAACAAACACCGAATATTGGTGTTCGATTATTTTGTTTATTACAAGGAGGGAGCTACCGGCGCACAGCTCCCTCCTTGTAATATGTAACTATAGAAGCGACAGGGAGTATAGTGATCCTATTCATCTAAACGGGGGACATAGGGTCCCCCTTGGCCTCTGCGTGGGCTCTAAATTACAATAAGCGGTGAGGGGAAGACCCCGCCCATGAGCGGCAGTTTGGGGCTCTAAATGACAATGGACGTGGGACCTATTGTCCTCCCCCCAGGCCCCTTACCCATGGGTCGGGGCTAAAGACCCTAATCACCCCCCACCCAAATTAAATTAAATAAAGCCCTACCTTCCCCTCTCATCCTAAAAATAGTGAGGGGGAGACAAAACTAAATTACCTGTAAGTAAACAAAAAATACTTACCATTTGATGTCTTCTTTTTTCGAAAACCTTTTGTCAGCCCCAAAAAGCCAAATAAAAATTCAGAATACCCGTCGAACTTATAAAATAAAAACAAACCCAAGGTGCAGTCACTATTTTTAGGGTGAGGGGGATGGTAGGGCTTTATTTCATTTTACTTGGGTGGGGGGATGACTCATTTAGGGCCCCCGCCTGCTGCTCATGGGTGGGGCCCGGGGGGGGGTCAGGGACACACAACCGGCGCTCATGGGTGGAGGGACGACAATAGGTTCCCCCATTTTTATTTAGGGCCCCCACCGGCCGTCTTGTGTTGGGGCCGGGGGGGGGTTAGGGGGAGGACAAAAGGTCCCCCCCAAAATTTTTATTTATGGCCCCCACTCACGGGTGTGGGCCAAGGGGGACACTATGTCCCCCGTTTAGTTGCATAGTCCCTACTCGCGTGGCACACTGTGCTTTATTTTTTCACAACAGTAAGCAGCCTGTTAGGGCGAAACTAAATGACAGGCCGTTCGGAAATAGTGAAAGGAGGCATTGCGAGATTACAGAGTAAAGGTGAGAACTGTGGGCTATGGATTTATCACTATGAATGGGACGGGTGTCGGTGGGGGGGGCTATGGATTTATCACTATGAATGGGACGGGTGTCGGGGGCTATGAATGTGACGGGTGTCGGGGGGCTATGAATTTATCACTATGAATGGGACGGGTGTCGGGGGGCTATGGATTTATCACTATGAATGGGACGGGTGTCGGGGGGCTATGAATGTATCACTATGAATGGGACGGGTGTCGGGGGGCTATGAATGTATCACTATGAATGGGACGGGTGTCGGGGGGCTATGAATTTATCACTATGAATGGGGACGGGTGTCGGGGCCATGGATTTATCAATACTACGTGAATGTGACGGGTGTCGGGGGGCTATGAATTTATCACTATGGATGGGACGGGTGTCGGTGGCGGGGGGCTATGGATTTATCACTATGAATGGGACGGGTGTCGGGGGCAGGCCCGGACTGGCCATCGGGCAAACCGGGCAAATGCCCGGTGGGCCGCGATGGCCATGGACCAAGGCCGGTAGGAAAGATCAAGAGATCTCCCCTACCGGCCCATGCGCAGCAGCACCGGCCCCAAGATACCCTGCGGGATACAGACTGAATTACCTGCCGCTGAAACCGCCAGGGATGTGTGTGTGGCGTAGCCCCCCCTCACTGGACCACCAGGTATGTGAATGCTCCCTCCCCCCCTGCAAAGTTAAAAGGGGGAGTAAATGGAATTGTTATTATTATTATTTTTTTAACTTTTTAATAATAATAATAATAATAATAATAATAATAATAATAATTTAAGGCCATATACACATACAAAACACACTACACACACTGCACCACTAACACACAAGCATTCTGCTCCCCACCACTAACACACTAACACACAAACACTAACTGCACCACTAACACACACACACACTGCACTAACACACAAACATTCTACTCCTCACCACTAACACACAAACACACACTGCACTAACACACACTGCACCACTAACACACACACACACACTGCAGTAACACACAAACACACACTGCACTAACACACAAACATGCTGCTCCCCTGCACAAACACACAATGCAGTAACACACAAACACACACTGCACTAACACACAAACATTCTACTCCCCACCACTAACACACAAACACACACTGCACTAACACACACTGCACCACTAACACACACACACACTGCAGTAACACACAAACACACACTGCACTAACACACAAACATACTGCTCCCCTGCACAAACACACACTGCACTAACACACAAACATTCTACTCCCCACCACTAACACACACTGCAGTAACACACAAACACACACTGCACTAACACACAAACATACTGCTCCCCTGCACAAACACACAATGCAGTAACACACAAACACACACTGCACTAACACACAAACATACTACTCCCCACCACTAACACACACTGCACCACTAACACACACACACACACACACTGCAGTAACACACAAACACACACTGCACTAACACACAAACATACTGCTCCCCTGCACAAACACACAATGCAGTAACACACAAACACACACTGCACTAACACACAAACATACTGCTCCCCTGCACAAACACACACTGCAGTAACACACAAACACACACTGCACTAAAACACAAACATACTGCTCCCCTGCACAAACACACAATGCAGTAACACACAAACACACACTGCACTAACACACAAACATACTGCTCCCCTGCACAAACACACACTGCAGTAACACACAAACACACACTGCACTAAAACACAAACATACTGCTCCCCTGCACTAACACACTACACACACAGCACCCCCTGAACTAACACACAAACACATTACACCCCCTGCACTAACCCACAAAAACACTGCATACACTCTATACCCCTACATACACACTACAGCCCCTGCATTAACACACAATACACACTCTATACCCCTATATCCACACTGCACCTCCTGCACTTACACACAAACACACACTCGTCCCCTGGCACTCACATACACACACTAAACACACTCTATACACCATAAACCTACACTACACTACACTCCCTGCACTCTCCTACGTTATACCCATATTAACACACACATTACACCCCCTGCATGCACCCACACTAATTTATATCGCCTATAAATACATATTCTGCACCCCCTGTACACACTACACCACCTATGCATACAGTATCCCCCCTATACACATGTGCTCTACAGCTCCTATATGCATACACACACTAGAGCCCCTAGATACACTCACAAACACACAGTACAGCTCCTTACATGCACACACTCCACAGGCCCTATATAAATACACACACACAAACACACATACTTTACAACCCAGAGACACACACACTACAGCCCCTAGCCACAAACAGACCCCTTCACACACACAATTGCTCTACACACATGCAATGTCCAAACATATACAACAACATCCCCACACATGCACAACACTCTTTAACAGTCCGGTTCCTGTTTTGATCTCTGGTATCCCACTATTGAGGACACCAGAGACAAATCGCCAGCAAACGCAGCACAAACTCAACCCCCCCTTACCCCTAGAAAAACCTCATGGCATTTATTTTAGCCAGGAGCACTGGATGCTCTGGAGGAGCGGCACATTAACATACTCATTTGGTGTGGGGGAAGGTGGTGTGCGTGTCAATGGTGGTGACATGACATGCCCTCTTTCTGGCCCCGCCCCTAATAGTGGGCTGATCTGCCTTTAATTGCCCGGGCTGAATTTTTGTCCCAGTCCGGCCCTGGTCGGGGGGGCTATGGATTTATCACTATGGATGGGACGGGTGTCGTGGGGGTGGGGGCTATGGATTTATCACTATGGATGGGACGGGTGTCTGTGGGGGGCTATGGATTTATCACTATGGATGGGATGGGACTATGGATTTATCACTATGGATGGGACGGGTGTCAGGGGGCTATGGATTTATCACTATGGATGGGACGGGTGTCGGTGGGGGGCTATGGATTTATCACTATGGATGGGACGGGTGTCGGTGGCGGGGGGCTATGGATTTATCACTATGAATGGGACGGGTGTCGGGGGC